CACCGGTCCCCCGCCGCCGTAAGCGTAGGCGCCTCCGACCAAACAGCCAAGGCCGTATTCTCCGTCCTGGAGGCGTGAGTTTGGCCCCATGCAGCCTCCCTGGTCCGGGCTGTTGAGGATCTGGTCGATGCCGAAGCTGATGGGCTCCGCGTGGCCGGGGTGGAGATGGTGTGGACCCAGGTGCTCCATGCTGGCCCCCGGGCCCGGCCCCGCGGGGGGGCCTGGGCGGCGGGGCTCACTGTTTTTCGCTCTGGGTGCAGCGCGCAGGGGCGCGAAAGCAGGAGCCGCTCCTGGCTGCGTGGAGACTTGGAGGCGAAGTGCGCGGCAAGGCTAAAGTAGGGGGGAGGGGAAGGAGAGAGGGGGCGCCGTATTCTACTCCTCTCCGGCTGCTCCTTCCCCTCTCCCGCTGCTCGTTCGCTGTTGACTCTGGGACATCAATCACGGGGCGAAAGAGCCGGGTGCGAGGGAGCCCAGCCGTTCGGACCGGGTCTCTCCATTGGCTGTGCGCGGAGAGGAGCCGCGTGAATGACGGCGCGGGGGAGGGGCGGGGCCGAGGAGGGGGAGGCCGGGAGCCGAGACAGATGCCGGAGGAGCCAGAGACAGAAGGACAGAGACTGAGGCTCAGAGAAATAGTTCAGGAAGAGGGAAAACAGAGGCTTAAAAGGAAAAAGAAAAAGAACAGGAGGCGGCCATTCCCAGAGACTGACAGACAGACGGAGCCCAGGGGGTGAAGGTCGGAGCCCTCTTCCCAGCCTGGCAGGGGCCACCCCCTAACTTTGAAACGGGCCAAAAGGGTCCAGCCCACCAGCCTTTGGGGAAGAGGTGTCCCTGTGCTCCTGGAGAATCTTCCCAAGGGCTCGCTGGAAACACCTGTCCATCAACCAGAGTATTTACACCAAACTTCAAGTCCAGCTTGTTAGAAAGTAGAAGACTGTCTACTCCGCAGGTATGGAGCCCAGGCCCCTGAACCAGGGAAAGTGAATTCAGGCTTGTCAATCTTTAAAACAGGCGCCTATGAACTACTGGCTATATGTGGGGAAAAATCAACAACCACCCAACTTAGCTTATGTAGAGAAACTGAGGAAGGGAAGCCTTCCTGAAAGGCAGTCACAGACAAGGGTGTTGCCACGGTGGCCATGCTTCAAGATACCCCTTTCCTTTAAAATAAACAGATGTCTCAAGAAGCAGTTCGAACAGTGTGTGTATGGATTCGATTGGATTGTTTCACCTAGTAACTAGGCCAGGGGTGGCTATTTCAAGCAAGAAACCTTTGGACTGTGGTAAGGGGAAGGCATTATTTTTTTCACTTTTGGAATCTTGGGAGGGAAGCCTAGGGTCTTAAGGCAGGGGAGGGAGCCTGGGGATGGTGGGATCAAGATGAGGGACGTGCATCCAGGACAAATTTAGGCCTTTTCAAAGTTTTGCCTGTGGCTGGCTGGCTTAGAGCCCAGGAAAGGAGGAGGAAACTCCCTTTTCTGCTTTCCCCGCTCCAGCAGGGGTATGTTTGATTCCTCCCAGAAGCCAAGATTAGGGAAAGGCACAGGTTGGATCACTTGGGATCTATTTCTGGTCTATTCCAGATTCAACAGGCCTTCAGAGAGGGGCTGTCTCTATTAGGCAAGATGCTAGAATGTGAAGGCCCACATTCTGCTTATCAAGTCTCATTGCAATGTAATGTTTGCTTTGGCCACATCTCACTTCCACTTGAAGAGATCTCCTTGGAGGCAAGAAATGGCTTACTATCTCTGTTCCCCCCTGTAAAGTATAGCCCCAACCCATAAAATATACTCATTTTGAGTGAATAATGAATAAATGAACCTCCTTATTCAACAAATTTTTTGAGCACCTACTATGTGTCAGGCATGGTTCTTGGCACTGAGAAAAGAGCAGTGAACAAAACAAAGTTCCTGCCCTTATGGAGCTTCCATTCCATAGAGGGGATGTAAAGAAGCAAATACAATCAGCCAGATGATAATAAATGTTATGGAGAACACTATAAACTACATTAACTCTTTGAGATGAGTACCATCCCTATTTTACAGGTGCAAAGAAACAAAATCTCAGAGAGGCTGTGACTTGATCAAGATAGAGGAGCTGGATTCTACTTGCTTTTATGGATTACCCTGGAAAGCTGGCTGCTGGTCAGAAGGGTATTTCTATAAGGAAAACCTTGTCTAGGCTCCAGGCAGGTGGACAGGGGCCCACTCAATATAAAGCCAGGTGTGTTGTTTTCAACACTAAACAGAGACATGAGGAGAGAGCCCCACTCCCTTGCCAGCTCTCTCCTCTCCACCCACCCAATTCAGGTACTACACCTCTACCAAGAGGTTCTATAACTTTCTTTGGAAGTTGTTTGAACTTGAATGTGTCTCTTTCCTGCGTCTTATGTTGAAAGAACTGAAGAAGAGATAAACGTGTTTTACTGAAAAACTACTATGTGCCAGGCACCACACCACACTGCTCTCATTTAAGACTCACAACAACCCTATGAAGTTAATAGAAACATCCCCATTTTAAAATGATTAAGGAAAAAAAGACTTTATAATGGTATAATTCATAATGGCCAAAAAGTAGAAGCAATTTTTGATGAATGGATAAATAAAATGTGGTATCTCCATACAATTGAATATTATTCAGCCATAAAAATAAATAAAAAGGACATCCTGGTTCATGCTACAACATGGAAGAACCTAGAAAACATTATGCTAAGTGAAAGAAACCAGGCACAAAAGGCCACAGAATAGGCAAATCTAGAGAGACAGAAAATATATTCATGGTTTCCAGGAGCTGGAAGGAGGTGGGGATTGGGAACTGACTGCAAATGGATACAAGTTTCTATTTGGAGTGATGAAAATATTCTAGAGTTAGGTGGTGGTGATGGTTGCACAACTTTGTGAATATACTAAAAACCACTGAGTTGTGTGATTTAAAGAGCTGAAATTATGTTACACGAATTATCTCTCTTTTTAAAAAATATATCTTTATTGATTTCAGAGAGAGGAAGGGAGACAGGAGAGAGAGAGATAGAAACATCAATGATGAGAGAGTCATTGATCAGCTGCCTCCTGCACCGCCCCCCCACTGGGGATCTAGCCTTGACCCAGGCATGTGCCCTGATGGGAATCGAACCTGGATCTCCTACCACTGAGCCACGCCAGCAGGGCTATATTTCATTTTTAAAAGAAAAAAACAAAAGCTTAGGCTCAGTGAGATGAATGAAGTTGCCCAAAGTCACACAGACAGCAGAGGCTTGATCTGGGATCCCCAAATCTGAACTGGAAGGCGAAAACTATGGGGAGAGTCCCTTCAGTATCACTTGCAGCTGGGTCCATGTTGTCTTGCTCTACCTTTCTCCTTGTAGTCAAGAAGCCGCATTTGTGTCTAACCACAGTTCTGCCTGCTGCAAATTAAAACCCTATCTTTCTAGGTTAACCTCAAAACAACTTCTCTTTGCCACTCTCTGGCCCATGCTGGAAATGGCTAGTGTTCCTAATACTTTCCCCCTTCCTCCCTCTCCCCCTCCTAATGCACCTTTCTAGCCCCTATGGCTTTCCAACCATGCCTGTTCCAACCCTTTGGGCATCTGCCTCACTTTCCTCTTGAACTCCTCACTTTTGTCACCAGTTGTCCAGGGTACCTGGGAAGAGACCTCATCCTTGCTGTCCTAGTCTAAGTTTGGCAGAAGCCACAGCTGCCTGGGGCCCATTAAAACTGTCAGGATGCTCTCCTCACCAAATTCAGCAACCCAGGGATACCCTGCCTTTCCCTGCCCTCATTGCTGCCTGCCTGCCTTATTTCTTTTGGATTTCCCACCCACCTCCGCTGCTTATCAGAGTCAACTTTTATCCCAATCCAGTTCTGAGCTGCTGGCTTCCCTCCAGCTGGGATTCTTTGAGTCCCCCTTGACCTCGGCCTTTGTCTTTCAATGGGATAGTGGCTGAGGGCAGAGTTACCCGCTCAGCCCCTTCTCTGCTAGGAAGATGAGACAAGAGTGCCAGGATTTGTTGGGTTTTGGCCCCTGCCACCCTCTGAAGCTGTGTTTCCTGAGCACAGTGCTGCAGGTTAGAAAGTTTTCTGAAATGGAGGAGACTCAAAGCTTATACTCAGTGCAGCTTGTGTTCCATGCCTTGCAAAGTAGCCCTGTTAGGAAAGAGGAGGGGAGGGACAAGAGGAACGACTCACAAAGCACCAGTGATGTCCTAGGTACCTTCTCATCCCATCCTCCAAACATCCTGGGATGTGGCTTTTGTTGTCTCCATTTTGCAGATGAAAAAACCAAGGCACTAAAAACTGAACAGGGACAGAACTGGACTCAAATGCTGCTTTTCTGACACATATAAGCTGCTTCCTCAACACCAAACTTAGCAGATATGGTCCTTGCTTGCAGGAGTATCTCTGAACACATCTAGGTGAGGTCCAGCCCTGAGGCCACCTGGTAACACCACCCTTCCAGCACCAGCCCCCTCCCCCCCACACACACACCCTGCAGAATAAAGAAGTGCTTCCAATTAAAAGAGGAGCAGCTGGGGCCGAGGCTGTGGTGGGGGGAGGAGAAAAGGGAGGGCTCAGCCATGGGAGAGGCCCCTTTGGATCCCACATTGCTTCCTTCCCCCTCTGGGAGAGACCCCTGAGCCAGGGGCTGTCCTTTAGCTTAGGGGTGTGTATGATAACTTAATTACTTTGTGTTTGTGGGACTGTGTGTCCATGAGGGGGAAGCTGGATGTGAATGACAGTGAGGGTAGCTACTAGCTGTGCTTGTCTTTAAGGAATAATTTCAAAAATTTGCCGAACTATGTTTTTATCCAAATATGTACTGAGTGTGCATTATGTAATCTTGTTAGGCTTTTGGGACACAAGTGCAAACAAAAGGCATGTTGGTAAGAGTGGGAGGGAGTCTGGGTCTGCTGTACAACAGGATTTGTCTGTGTAAAGGATGTGTGTGTCAGTGAGAATGCAAGTAAATGTGTGTTTTCTGTAATAGGATGACTATGTGTGTTTACAGCTGTTCCTCTGTAGTGGGCACATACATGATGGTGTGAGGCTGTCCCTTGGCCAGTGTGAGAAAGTGTGAATGTAATAATAATGTGTGCTGCTAATGGTGTGTGTCTGTGGAAGGAGTGTCATATTTTCTAGTGTACTTGTCAGGAAAATGGCCATATGTGGACCTGTGTGTGTGGAAAGAGGGAGAC